ATCCGGATAGCTCAATTCCCACTGAAATTATTGCCAATGATGTTGCTTAGAAAGACAGTGAAAGGTTCACGATTTAACCACCCCGCTCAGAGAGCGCAATACAACCATAAGTATCACCATGTGCTAAGCTTGTAAGGAATTAAGTAGGCAGAGAGAAAATATTCGGCTACTAAGAGCTTCTCAGTATAGTTTAGGTAAGACAGAATGGCTGACTAAGTAGAGACAAGAACAGTCAAACAAGAACTTTCATGCAATGCAGTTTGATCAATCGATGAAGTAATGGTACCCTTTAAACTGACTAGTTTGAGTTTGTACAAGTCATGCCCAGCATCTGTTTATGCGCCTTTATTGTAGTCTAGTGTCTTCATGGATTCGCCAGTGGAATTTCTGTTTGATGTTTGTATCCAGAGGTTTGATTCTGTGAAAAAGTTCACTATTCCACTGAACATAGACCTAGTTAACGAATCAAGGGTAATTCGGATTTACTTTGATGTGTTCTAGAAATATGCCATCCAGTCCAATACAACTATTTACTCGTTTATAAAACTTGAGCACTGTGGTAGAATGCGATTCCCCATTAGATTTGTTTATTTGATATAGTCAGCGCATAGCGACACAGTATTATTTGCTTGATGACGTTTCCAGCATAAATTATCATTGCCCATAATCACATCAGTTTAATTACACCACTTTACCACTTCGTAAGTGAATTGGATTGCGTGCATTACAGAACAAGGATAACTACCTATGCTAGATCGGAAAATAAAACGGAAGACAGACGGTTGTTTGAATACTACAGTCTACAGGAAACCGACACATTCTAACATCTCATGCAATATCAGTTAAGGCAGGTTCAGTCAAATGTCTAAATGATAGAGGTAAAAAAACTCACTAGTCATTGTAAGGACTTAAACAAGGAATTGAAACATATAACAGAAGCGTTAATTTTTATGATTATCCTGTACAGTTTATTAGGAACCGTTTTAACACACAAGAAATGAAATAATAACAATAATAATAATACAAATAGGAATAATGGTGACAACATGAGCAGAAATAAGTTGAAAGCCTCTATTGTGTTACCCTATAAAGAAGGTACATCAGAAACTTCGCGTGGGATTCTCAAAAAAGCTGGAATTAGGGTGACATTTAAACCTAAAAACTCTGCGTTTAACTTTGTCGGCTTAAAGATTTGATAGAACCAATTAAGTAAAATAATCTAATCTGTCAAATTCCATGTAATGACTGTGAGGTTAAGTACATAGGTACAGTATATAGAATGACAGACACGAATAAGAGGATGCAACGCCCATACCAGAGATATAGAAAATTTCACTACTTATAAAAACAAAGAATATAAGGTGATAGGACTATAAAAATCGATTGATGGAAGTGTTGTGATTACAGTGATATGAAAGGAGTAGTAATTTGTGCTTGAAACGTCATCCAGTGAATAATACTGTATCACTCGCTGTGTGTTATAAATCAGATAAATCAATCGAATATGGAAGACAGATATTCCAATTATGAATCTTGACAGACTGATAAAATCATTTACAAGGATCTGATCGTAAGCAACACCAAGATGTTCACAAAGAGAGTTCATACTCCAGCAGAAAATAACTACCTAAATATTGTAAGTCAATAATGGATATAGTCGAATATCCTTCTAATGCATAATACTTGTTGAAAAATATCTGACTATCATAAATAACTCAGAAGTCTAGTGAATCAAGCTGCCAAGTTTTAAGCGATGATCACTAAATTCTTGTCTCACTGCAAACACATTAATATTGAAAAAGATGAATTCACTTGATGAGCCCTAAATAGGACGAAATATGCATTCGGAACTTAACTGTATTTCATTGTGGAGTGTAGAGTTAAAGTTACACTTCCCTTAAGATCTTAGTTAAATGGATGGTTATGATTCATTATAAAGGTGTACAGCAGTTACAATCAGATTACAGTTAGACATATCATCTCTTACGTAAGTAAAAGCGACTTATTCTTCTTAGAGTTCACTATAATGATATATAAACACAATGTAATACCGTTTCTTGACACTCATAATTTCTTCATGTTATTCTGGATCAAACAAATCAACCTCTGTTGACAAATGGGCTTCTATACTTATCCCTTTATACCACTCGATGATTGGCTGTTACGATTTCCTTGCTGATGTCTGGCAGCCTAATCCAGAAAGCACGTTTCGCCTTATTTTGGACTCATTAGCCGGATACACCTGAACCCCAGTAAGCATTGTTGTTCCTAATGAGGCTCAAACCCATGACTTTAAACGCCAAAGTGTTACTGAATCCCCGCCGACTTTTGTCGTACAAGTACCAACAAGTTCAACGTCACCACCACCACCATCAACGGGAGAAACCTAAAGGAAGTTGTCTCTTTCAACTACACTACCTAGACAGGGCAGGATCGTTTCAAATACAGGTGGTGGTGGCACAGATGAGGACATCAAAGCCAGGATTGGAAAGGCAAGGGAGTACATCATTAATCTGAAACCAGTGTGGAAATCTACTGCACTCAGCATAAATCGTGAACAAGATCCCAGTTTTTAAAATTAATTCATAGAAGTCAGTGCTTCTATGTGATGGTTGAGAGAATTGTCATATTACGAAAAGCACCTGCAACAAACCGCAGACATTCATCAACAGTTGTAGCCTACGCTCGATACTGAAGATGAGATGGCCAGGAAGAATAAGCAACTTGGCATTCTGGTCGGGAAACGAACGAACCAACAACCCATCGCGAACTATGCAGAAGAAAGTGAAAATTAATTGGATTGGGTATTCACTGAGAAGACCATTCGGAGACATCACGCGCCATACCAGACCAAGGTGTCTAGTGGAACCCGAATGGGAAACGACGAATTGGGCTTCTGAGCCGAAGGTGACACGAAGGAGATTATGTGAGAAAAAAATGAAAGCCGGTGGACAGTTGTGGAACCAGGCTAAGAGGACTGCAGAGAAGAAAATCCAATGGAGACGTGCTACTGAAGCCCTGTATTCCACTAGGAACCCATGGGACGAACAATAATAGGTCAACACCAAGGAAATACGCATGAAGTATTTGCTCCCTGTGGTGAAATAAACAGGCATTTTGATTTTCCGGCTATTAACATACTACCAAGTAAATATTCACCTGACATTTACTGTCGAACACATTCCAGAGGAGAAGCCTCGTAGCTACTGTTTAAGTTCCTTTTAAAAATAACCACTCGTCTTGGTTGGTGGGGACTTATTTATTCACAGGAAATACAAAAGAATTGGTCAGTACCTTCACTACAATAATTTCTGTCCTGTCACCATTAAGCGTGAATTAATCGGGACGCTACTCACTGGGAGAAGAACTTTATACTTAAAAAACAAACAACAGGAAGAATCCGGTATCTTTGAGAAATCTCTTATAGAGAATGGATATCCGAAGAAATTAATCATGAAGCATGGAAAAGAATTTTCTGAGAAACCAAAACATTCAACCATTAAGAAAAAGCTTGTTTTCCTTCGCCTAGCATTCAATGGTGATGAGACGTCGGAAAGAATAGACAGAAGAATAAAAGCTCCACTGAGAAGGAGCTTCCCTACTGCCACATTGCTCTCATTTTTCAATACAATATACTCAATAACACAGTCAAAAGTAGATAACTTCCCAGCTCACGTCACCACAGCTTGTGGAAGCAAGTATATAGGACCGACTGATTGAAGGGTGTCTACTCAATTTTATAAGCATACGGGAAGAAACGTATGTCTGAAAGATACCAAAGTTTGTATCAGCGCAATTCTCAGGTACCAGATGGAAACAGAACATCAAATAGATGCTTCTCAACCCTTGAGGATAATCGAAAAACAATGAAAGCCATGTTTAATACTGTTTGTGGAAGCTGTCGCCATCAACTTTACATAATTTCTTTCATGTGTATGCATATAATCTTCCTTTTTTGGACTGCGTCATCTCTTCATTAATTAGTTACTAGTTGTGAATAATTTTTCCAGTTCTTCGTGTAATTACGTAACCTATTAGCTCTTAAAAAGTCCCTTCTTCTACACTTTTGTCTGTTTGTTCTCCCCCCGCCCCTACTTCACAGCTCCACAATTTTCTATCTCACCAGATATGAAGAAATTGCCACTGATTTTGAATAAGGTTTGCGATTGTTAATTTTTATTTGTTATGTTATGTCATTATTGTCACTATTAATATTTCATTTTAATAATAGGCTGTTCTGCAGCTGATGAAAGTCCATGAAATAAAATGAGCTCATTTTATTCTGAAAATGTTTTTGTTCTTGCATTGTTCAAATTTGTTGAGGGAACTAAACCTCCAGGTTACTAATCCACTGGTTTACCAACTGACCAACCTGACGCAGCTGCTGTCTGATCAGATCCTAATTTCACTCCAATCACTAAGGTTTTTTTCCAACTTTCATGATGCGTTACTGTTCATTCATTTTATTCACACTGGCTGCCCAGTCAGGACTTCTCATCCTAATCCCAATCAAGCTGAATTAGCAGGGTGGAGCATAATTTTGATGACCTGAAATAACCATGGTTTGGCAGACTTGTATTATACATAGTGGGTGATGTTATACTCAGTAACTGGGTGTCGTTTCTGGTTCGATCCTGCTGTAATCCAGATTTTCATTTCACCTTCAGTCATCATCCACTATCAATAATGCTAGTCTGCCAAATAAAGGCTATCTTAGATAGTCAATTAGTTAATTATTTAGTAAACCATCAGTTATGCGTAATATGATTGGATAATTCACTTCAGTTAATGTTCACAACTCTGATTGGTCAATGATAATGAAAATATTTTCGTTTATTGGTTAAACTGAACTGCATATCAAGCGAATTGCATTCCAAATACATTTTAACAAACTGGATCAAAACATCTTGAATATCAACAAGAAAAGTTGAGTAACTCACTTTAGAAAATGATACTACTATGTAAAGAAAAAAACATGAATGTAACGGGTGGAATGTGATATGAATCAGTTAAAGAAATCTAAACTATGTACAATTTTTAATTTATTCTGTATTATTATTATTATTATTATTATCATTAAAAGGATATCATCACAACAGCAAAATTATCCAAGTGATTTTCGATCATTAAATTTGGGCTCATGTTTATCGAATGGTGGAGATTTATTCTGTCAACAATACAGACGGAATAGTTTTTGTTCTATTCATCATGATGAATGTTTTTGTTCACCTGGATATGTATCAATTTATGAGACGGAAGATAGTTGGTATACGTGTAAACCGTGTAAGTAAACAATGATACCATGTTATTTTTATGCTTTTTTTAACTTAAATATTTGTATATTATTGGTATGAGTAAGACAAGGCTGCCATCCACTACCACCCATGATCTTCCTGATTGTGGTGGACGGATCATGCAACAAACTGTGAGGAGTGAGAAGATGGACATATACTGGCTGGATCAGTGAAAAGACCCTAGAAGATTTGGATTTCTCTTACGATGATTTATGTCTAGTGTCTTGTTGCACAAACTCGAAGGTCTACAGGCGAAAACTAAAACAGAAGGGACGAGGCAGCGAAGACGGGACTTCAAGCAAACGTAGAGAAGACAGACTTAGAGGTGATAAAGATACTCAACCAACAACAGCAAGCACCATGAATGGGAGAAACCTAAAGGAAGTAGTCTGTTTCACCTACACCTACCCAGGTAGGGAAGGCAGCGTCGTTTCAACTACAGGCGGCACAGGCACAGATGAGATGTCACAGCAGCCAGGATTGGAAGAGCAAGACAGGCTTTCACTAATCTGAAGTTAGTGTGGAGATCTACTCCACCCAGCAAAAAGCGTGAACAACATCCGGACTTTCAACACTTATTCAGCCAATCAAGTCACCACCATCTGTCCTTCATTTTATTTTACAATCTAACAGCCATATGTTCCCAGATGTCCATAAAAATATCCGCTACAACTGGGGATGTTGGTGGTTTTATTACTGTTCCTGCCTTTTAGATATTTTATCAGTTTCAGGTTGGTATTTGTCATGGACTGACATCAACTGAACAAACACTGGAAACCTGGACAGCTGTTTCGTCCCAGCGTGGAACTCACCCGTGACTCTGCTACTCCATGATGAACACCAATCTGAAATTAATAAGTAAATCTCCATAAACCTCAAAACGGAATTAGATATTTTGTGTTGTAATTCGAGAACTATAGGAGTGTAACATAAGCAAACTCCCAGAAAGATATCCTCAATCACCACCTTAGCTCTACGACAGAAATCATTTTGAAGTTCGTTTCTGAAAGCCTGTTGACTCATGCAGACTGAAATATTAATATATAAACGTGTAACATCAAAACTACTCTCCTGATAATTTCTAACCCTTTTGGTATAAATTAGTCAGTTTTGGGGCAAAGCGTTCCTAATGGTCAATGTAATTACAAATCCAGTGACTGAATAAACTTTTTTTAAACGCAGAGTTCAGGCTTTAAAATAAATGAATCCCTATAACTTTCAAGGTTCAAGCAGGTCTTAAGCGTATAGCTTTCAAAAGATTTCTAAGAACTGTGAGGACATCAGTGTGATCAGTTTTTGGTGAGAATTGATAAAATGTCCAGTGGTGAAGCTGTGAGATGCCTTCTCTTCTGTTTCGTAATACTAAGTTGGTATAATCTCGAGAAAACATTTTGAAAACCAACGCTGATTAATGTCAGGCATACTTTACTCTGTAAGAGAAGGTGACCTGAATAAAATCTATAGAAATAACCAAGGAAGGTGGATTTTTCTGCATGCACTGGATGAATGGTGAAAGTCTGAAAACATAGTAAACTTGTGAAGAAAAGCTTTTCGGAAACCTAAAAGACAGAAGTATTAGCTGGTTCCAGTTTCATATTTTTAACAATAAAATGTTAAGGGTACCAGTTTCCACTTGAAAAATATTTTAGAAATTCTCTTCATCGTCTGAAGTGTTCAAACTCCACAGATTATGGATCATAGAACTTAAATAACACATCAATTCTCTTTCACATCTAAAGGCGCCCAACTATGATTATTCACAAGATATCCATGTCGCATGTTTTCTGCAGACAGGTTATTCAACTTATCAGCGATAACTTCTTGTTAACTGTACATCTTTAGCTTGAGTATTTCATTATTTTGTGAAGATTGTACGGTTAATGTGCACCTGTGCAACAACTTCTTCAGGTGTATGTAAGTAGACCAGCATCTAATCCACCAAGACCAAGATAATATCATATATATATCACATTGTTTCAACAAGCAGAACACTTGTAAAAAATGCGTTCACATCTACAAAGAATATAACCATTCCAGTGAGGATAACACTATCCACATTATCTGACAAAATCAAAAGAGTCACAAGATGGGACTTATCTTTGAATGAGCTCTAAACGATTGACTAACCACTGAGTAATACGAAAGGTGACCTTATTGTGTTACGCATACGGCTTATATGTGTAATCACTTTATACATCTTCGTGACTTCACGCAATTGAAGATTATTTGGCACAGATGATACAGGTAACTGGAACAATTCAGAATCTATACAACAATTAGTCAGTGATTTTTCAAGGTTACCTGCTAACTGTTCTCTGTTCACTCTATTTTCCTCTTTGTTCCTTGTTCTTTGATCACTTTAACATCATATCTATCTATCTACGGAGTGGACTTGTTTTCATCTATCCCAAAGAATTAATTCATTGAAAAAGGAATTCTTTTATGTACAAATATCACGGCTAACCTGGTTGCTTTCTCAGTCCTCAGGTTTGATTAAAACATGGAATTTATTTTCAACTAGTTGATGAATAACTGTGTGTACTTTCAAATTTAACAGTTGGTAAGGATCAAAACAGCATATTTTCGCAAACATTTAGAAGTTTCGATTTGGTATTTGGTTTCTTGATCAGGATAGACATTCAACTGACCATGTAATCATTGGTTGAAATCCGCTGAACATTTATCCATAAGCCTGTTTTATGTGGTTATTACATAAGTCAATGCACGTGGATAATTATGGACATGAATTAGATTAGATTAGATTAGACAATGTAGACATTTTTAACGGGGAAACAAAGTATATCAGACTATTCCTAAAAGCTTGGCACTCAGGTCAGTCAGTCAGAAATCAATGAAGAGATGTATAGATTTAGACCCAATCTATAAAACAATGAGAAAAATGGTAAGCGACAGAAAGGTCAGAGATCAAGCAGAAGAAAAGCCAACAGGAAAGTCTATGCAGTCTGTCAATGACACAACAATCAAAGGAAACAACCAATCACAAAGCAGTTGGTCAGGGCAAGCTACTAAATGACTCACGGGGAAATACTGACAGCACATTTTATACTGAAGTTATTGCTGAAGACGTCTTCTAGAAAGACGATGAAAGCTCCACAACTAATCAAATCACCTAAGAGAATACTGTGCAACCAAGACCATCCACCTGAGCTACAAATATTCCCCACAATTATTCCATAATTGTATCTCATATACACTATCGTGTGATCAACAATCACCTGTCTGTCATTTGCTTGGCGCATGCAGCTGCCAACCAGAAAATAGTCCAAACATACAATAGACTTTACTGCAGATTGTACTGCTAATATTACTCTCACCTACTGATGAATGAATCCAGTAGCTGGTTTGTAAAGATTTATCGAATTAAAAGTGATCTTCCACTCTGATTGATATCAGGTGTATAACCATGAGAGTCTGAAAGAAACGGACAGGTATTCTATCCTAGTTTTGAGATTTGTCAGCTGTGTGCACTTACGACTAGACGAAAGATCGAGACGAGGATTTCGAATCTCATGGGAACACGTTACCATTTAACAGCTGGGTTAGAATCCGACGGTCCATATTTCCTATTTCTGTCAGTTCACAATATGGCCCTACATCCATCAAATGTCGTCGCTGAGTGACTGTCCTTATATTCTGTTTGGTTGATCCCACCCGTCAAGACTTCTCATTAAGACTTCGGGAATCATCTCTCGGAGCCAGCTACCCATGAGCACCAGATTATTCAATTTAAACGTTTGTGTTCACCATGGACTGACATCAGTTGGAGAAAAATTGAAAATCTGTAAGCACTGGAAAGCTGTTTCGTCAGAGTTTGGGACTTCTCGGCAGTACGCACCCAGGACCCTGCCAACCAGGGTGGGAGCGCAGAAGCTTCAGGTTCCACGACCCGATCGTTACCATTTAGCCACTGACTAGAAATCCAGTCATTCACATCTCCTACTTCTGTCAGTCCACGGTGTACCACAACCTCCACCCAATGCCGTCGTTGAGTAACCGTCCTCATTTCCTATGTGGTTGTCAAAACAGTTTACAGCTTCTTTACAGCATATTTTTGGTTCATTATAAAAATTCGGAGTGATTGCTTGCTATCTGGGACTTGAAAATTTTAAGGTAACTTGACCGCTATCTGCTGTTTTCCATAAGTATGAAACTTGCTCCTGGGTTTGCCAAGAAATATTCATAACGATTTCGAGCATTACAAGCCATACAAAAGAAGAAAGAAGTGATTCTACAGAGAGTGTAAAATTACAAAGATGATTTTGTATTCTGCGAGCTTTGAAACCCTGTTCTTAACATTTCATCACCAGGCTCTTTGACATCATCAACAGTAAGACGATAAGAATGCCTTCAATATGAACTGACTGCTGATAATGTGAATGAGCCTAAGTATGAACAATTCCGAACAACGTACCAAGGTGCAGAGAATATCAAACCAATTTCATCTTCATCCGAACTACAAATCATTTCAAGATCTGACAACATTTGTTCAGTTTCATTATTTTAGTTTTCGGTTCCCAGTGGAACAAAAAGATACAGTAGCACGTCGTCATTTCACAATCTTCTCGGCAGTCTCCTCAACCTGGATACAACACTGCAACACAACCTTTCATTTCTTACCCACACATTCTCATACATACCACCATCAACTCCAACACCCAAATCGTCCTCTCACATGCCAGTCCAAATCGACCCCATCGACTCACCTGGCCTGCCACGTGATGTCACCAAACGGTCTACTCACTGTATGTCAAATACAATCAAGTCCATCTCAAATCTCTTCTACTCCACATGTGTTGGCCAATGAGTTCCTGATCGATTGGTTCGTTGCCACGACAGAGTCACTTCCTTCTTGCTCATTCTCATTATTCTGAACATCTGATCTCCATCTTCAGTATCGAATGAGTGTAGCTGGTAGCTGTTCATGTGATGTCTGTCTGTAGTTTGTTGGCAATGCTTTCCATAACACAC